TAATTTCAGGCAAAAATCGTTGCAATCCTCAATTGCAACGATTAATTCCCTTTATACTTAGATAAGATTTAGTTTTAGTTTTTAGTTTTAAGATTTCAATTGTTATACTGACATGCAGGTTTGAAAAAACCTGTTTAAAATACTGAATTGCCAAGGCAGAAACAATGTAAAAACACTTAGATATATATCATAACAATTAAGGCTGGTAAGTTACTGTAGTAACTGGAGCACCTAGGCTAGGTTAAAATGAAATATAATTTATTTTGAATTTAGAACAAATAAAGTGTTCAAAAAAGGGCAACCTCTTGATCGCTCTTCTGATGAAATTAATTCGAGCAATCAATTTGATTTGCCCACAGGTGATGAGAATGATCCATCATCCAGGAAAAATTCTAGTAAACTTTTCTGGTTTAATGCCAAGAAGGAAAAGATTCCCCCAATTGTGATAACCACTTCCGATTTCCATGCTCTTCGCACGGAACTTTTGAACTTCGTGAAATTTAAGTTTTCACTGCAAATTGGCCGTCGGGGTGAATGCCTACCCACGGAAGAGCAGCTTGGTGCAGCTACTCTTGAAGATGGCTGGAGGGACATCCTTTCCGCCATAGGTAGTACTGCAGCAACGGCACTAGGTACTGCGATCCCGGACCGAAAAAAATGACTGGTTTGACGGCGAATGCAAACTGTTAGTAGAGGAGAAGAATGCAGCACGGGCGAGAATGCTGCAACACCGCACGAGATTGAATGTGGAGCGATACAGACAAGCGCGGAACAGACACAATTCGGTTTTCCGAAGGGAGAAGCGTCAGCAGAAAGACCGCGATCGCGAGGCGGTGGAAAATCTGTACCGCGTAAACGACACACGGAAGTTCTACGAGAAGCTAAATAGTTGCGCAAAGGCTACGTGCCGCAAGCCGATATGTGCAAGGGCTTGGACGGTAATCTTCTCACGAACGAGTGTGAGGTGATTAAGAAGGGAGACGCAGTAATATGACGAGCACCTCAACGGTGATGCAGCAGAAAACGAAGGTGGCACGGCAACAGACCTTGGAGCACGCGTAGAAGACGACAGGCTAGCGGACCCTGATCTTCAAGAAGTTGAGAAAATAGATTCCCTGTTGTAAAAATTCTCGCGTTTCTATACGTTCGTCCGGCTAATCAGGCGCTGGTTCGCGTTTGGCAGAAGATTGGTTCATAAAAGTCCCCCTATTGTCTCCTCTTCCTTTTAGGTTCAAACCATTCGAAAACATCTCATCAGGAGGCAGCTCAATGAAATGTTATCGAAATGTCAGAGAACTTCTATAACATCTGCTGGGCCGTCACCTACACAAAGCACTTCCTCCGATCGCTGCTTCAAGATTTTCAGAGGCCGTGTCTTTAGTTCACGGCCAATCATACCAACTCAGCGACTGAGATTAATTGACTCAGAGAATTTTCTTTCCTTACGAAATTGACTCAGATTTGGAAAAAAAAAACTGCAGTTATTCATAGCTTGTGAGTAACTGCATTTTTTTTTCCAAATCTGAGTAAATTTCGTAAGGAAAGAAAATTCTCTTAGACAATTAATCTCAGGTCAGTTTGAGGAAGTTCTCAATGTGAGATGCACGATCGGTGTTCTCCAGTCGGTGGTCATTCCGTCTCTATTTCAGGATTTGAGACATTTGGGTCTCTAGAAGTCGGTTCCGAATGTTCAGTGTTCCAAGACCCCCGAGAAAATGAACTGGAAATTGATGACGTTTTCTATCCAAAGATTTAGCGCCTTCGTGTGAAGCCCGCTGTAAAAAGGCATTTGAACCAGAAAATTCATCGGACTTTGTCCCTGTGAAAGTACCGTGCGGGACCGAAATCCGTACACCTAAGCACGAGAGAATCATTAACGGTCAATACTAAATAATGCTATCACATTATGCTCTGTATCACATCTTTTTCCTTTACATTTATCTTTATTTTTCCAATATTTGCAAACACCAGGTCTTAAAATTACCTGCAATTATTAGAAAAAAGGATTTAAATTGCACATATCTTGAATCAAAATCCGTACAGCGTTTTACGATTGCTTCAAAATCCGTACAGTTTTGAATCGAAATCCGTACACTGTGTTGAGGATGAATCAAAATCCGTACAGTCATGAATCAAAATCCGTACATGAATGTAAATCGATCCAACTCAATGAAAAAAAAACGTGTTGCTATCTTGAATAAAGTATTTTTTTTGTAGTTGCTTGGCTAAGAGTCCAAAACAGCTATATTCGTTTAAATACACTAGTTTACAGCATATTTGAACTTTGTACGCTGATGGTCATTTCCCATGTAAAATCGTGCGCTGAATCTAAAAATATAGTCAAAAAAAATCTCGGTAGGATAGTTTTGGAGATATAGGGGTAAGAGAGGCATAGTGAACAGGTGGGGCATAGTGAGCATCACGCGTGCTCCAGCTTGGACTTCCGGCCGTTCAGAACAAATTTGTTGGCTGTAGGATCAATATCTTAAGGATATTGATCCTACTACCAGTTGATTTGTTTCATGCAGTTGGAGATCCAGAGCCAAAGTACGGGATGCTCACTATGCCCCGCCTGTTCACTATGCCCCTCCTTCCCCTGGCTAAAAAATGAAATCTCACGTTAAAAAAACTAAAACACAAATATCTCTGGCTGCAATGAAGTAATATTAATTATTTTAACGCCAAATTAAACGTGATAAAATTTTATTTCGATCGTTATAACACTATTTTTCCGTGAGAGTAATGGTAGAACCACCATAAACATTTTAATTAACATTGCTTAAAAACTCAAATTCAATTTTTCTTAGGAAAACTTAAAAAACAAACTATTAACTAACAACAATACCATCAATCTCACTGACAATTGATGTTCAATTTATCGAACGAAAAAATTTCTTACCTCTAATTTAGCGTTAAAATAATTGATATAATCTCATTACAACCGGAGATATTTGTATTATAGTAATCAAACTTGTTTAAAGTGAATTTTCATTTTTAGCTGTATCTCAAAAACTATCCTACTGACATTTTTTCGACTACATTGTTGAATTCAGTGCACGATTTTACATAAGAATCATTCTTCAAAGGTTCAAGTTCATTTTTTTTACTTTTACTTTTTTTACTAATGATATCAGCGTTAGATTAATTGATGCTCCAATCGATTCAAAGGAGAGGTAACTGAATTCTTTGTATTTAAGAAGGTAACTGTTCTGGATTTTTATGCTAACTAATATCATGTTTAAGGATTAATTTCTTCCAAATTTTATTCTATACCAGTGCTTTGGGTTAAATATTCTTACTGGAGTTTTCCTCCGATCAAAACTTCGAGGTTTTTGAAATTTGACATGTGATAACGTGCAAGATGCGCCATACTTTGGAACTCCACCAACCCACTGGTATCAAGCGATAAATTAACCGGTTCCTAAGATGGTAGCCCTATAATGGCGGATAAGTAAAAGAAAAATACAACCATCTTAGAAACCAACAAAAAAAGACAATGAACTGACATCAAGGATTAGTTTTTCGTTTTGTGCATGAAAATTAAAAATGGTAAAATAACGACTATAACTTAATTTAATTTAATACGTCAAGAGAGTAATAATCATAAAAATACAGATCTTTCATTGCTTCTTTTCCACAGCTTTCTTCTGCTTCTTCTCCATTGTTACCATTGCCTTTTCAAGTTATAATGCTTTCTTGCTTCCAACCCTAATAAAAATAACCATAATAGAGAGCTTAACGACGTGTTCGGGGTATCATCCAAACCATTTGTGGGAAAGTTTACCCATCCGGGATAAAGTTCGTTCATGGTATCGTTTATTAGGGAACTTTCTTTGCTCTTCTTCCTTTTCTTCCTCCTCTTCCTCTCTCGCTCAACCTTTTTCTTTTGTCGTTCCTCAATCCTTTGTTTCTTTGCGTTCTCTTTATCAATTTTCGCCCGCACTACTTTCATGTGTATTTCCGGTCATTCCTCGCTGGTAGCTGGGAATGCTCTCTGGCCCATTTCTGTCTGCTCTCTGTAAGGGAGCATCCAAAAATGACGTAGCATATTTTTGATCAATTGTATACTCCTCCCCCCCCCCCTCGTAGCGTATTTGGCTATATCCAATACATGGCCGGTCACAAATTCTGAAACCCTCACCTCCCCCCTCAAATGCTACGTCATTTATGCATGGTCCCTAATTTGTATATGCGTGTTGGTGATATCCTGTAGGGGAGCTGCGTTGTTTTACTTTTCGGCTGGTTCTTGACGCTCTTCATTAAAAGATATTAATAATATAACGTTTACAATACGAATAAAATAAGAGAGTAGCGATTCAATACGGCATCTCTTATGGTGGTGAATTGAACGGCAAAATCCCTGGATGCTTCTCGGTAAGATTTCTCCGCACGCATCATTGCCACAGTCTTCTCCAAATCCTCCGGCGTGTATTTAGTTTCCATGATCTGCTGAAAAACATTAGATAAAGTAGAATCGTCATTAGTGATGCACAAGTGTACGGATTTAGAATCAGCTGTTATATATGGATCGAAATCCGTACAGTACTAATTTTGATAAATAAATACCATATGAACGATCCATTGCTTAGAATTGAGATATAAAACGATAAACACTTACCTTTCCGATCGACCTTCAGGAAACTACTTGCAAAAATCACTTAAATACGCTTAACAACTGGAAGTAAATCCGAGACATTTTCTTAGAAAATCGTTAAGAACGCAACCGATTGACAGAAATGCCCGACACGTGATAAGGTTTTTATTTTTCTTATTTTAATTGCATGTTATACTGCTTAATTGTTGAAGTAAACATCAAGCTGATGCATGAATGAACATGAATATGTATTCATGTATAATATTTACATTGTTATGATGCATATAAACAAACAAATTCAACAGGGTGTACGGATTTCGGTGCTGTACGGATTTCGGTCCCGCACGGTACTTCCCTCACAATATCGTATCACAGCAGGCACTGCAACACTAGAGTTGTCATTTAACACAAGAAAAGATGGATAAACTGCCGACAGCGCGAATTAACCGCTCCAACAGCGATCATGCTGCCCTGGTAAACCGTTCCGTTGCCCGTGGTTGCCCTTCCGAGAAGCTCCCGAAAGTTAGGACGACACAATCCACGACCAATATGTAAGTACTAGTGCTATGGAGAAAGGTAACTAGAAATAATTTAATTTTACCGATTCTTGAACAGTTCGAAATCGCAAAACATCTTGCCGAAGACGTTCAGCAAATTCACCGTTAGGAAACCCAACAGACCTGTTCGGAAGCCCCTCTGTCCGGAAGAAGCCAAATCAAAAGATACAATCAAGGTACCGAAACCTGTGAGAAAATTCCCAATGGAGAAATCACTTACCATGATCGAGATGAGCTCGCCAGCCAAGCAGCAACAGCATGACCAACCTACTGGGGGACTGTCCTTTTCGACTACTGCTTTGGCCGATGAGGGAACTACCCGGATGGTCAGCAACACTAGCAAGCTGATCTACGAGACGGGATTCAAGCTGCTGCTTAAATGCTGGAGGGATAAGAAAAGGCAGATTGATCGGATGAATACACAGCTCAGTCAAAAGGATAATACGGTGGGTAAGGTCCTTGATTTGAAAGTATGTTACTCTAATTCACAGTAATTACAGTCGATCAAGTACCGCAATCAACTGCATACCATTCAGTCACTGTATCAAAACGAATGCCGAAACCACGAATCGGCACGAACCGATATCAAAACGCTGAAGCAAAAACTGGAAGGCCTTAAAACGAATCTTCTGCAGGAGAAGAAGGCTCATCTAGAGAAGGTTTCCGAGCTGGAGGGCTTCGTTCTAATGAGAGACAAGCTGCAGTCGCAGCTGACTCACGCCGAGGAGGAACTGGCCATTGCAATCATCAACTGGCACAGCTTCGAGTTCAAGTTCAAGCAGCAGGAAGAAAGCTGTCTCCAGTTGACGTCAGAGAAGAGGGAACTACTGAAGCAGGTATGTTGGCTACGTTCGGAGGGCTAGTCATGGCGACAGGTTCTCTGGCGCCTATCGGAAAATTAATGTTCGCTGGTGGGTGGAGCAGGTTGGGATGGAACAGGTTTCACGATTCGTCATTCGTTGGTTTGATATTGTGGGATGATAGATGTTGAGTAATTTAGTGGTGGCGCCCAACAGGTTGCGTCTCTAATTACCTAGAAATCTTATGATTTGATTTTTATGCATGTACTATCATACCAATAGGTGCCTTGCTACATTGAATGGTAGTTCTATACCATCATCATCATTGCTGCTGGTTGGCCACTTATCGGTATAATTTTAAAGCTTGATTGACAGAATTTGTATTGGCTTGTTTTTTTTTTTATCTAGTTCGTTTATTTTTAAGGCTCAATCGCGTTAGCTTTACGGAGCCGATAATTCATTGTTCTTTGTTTGTAACAAAATTCACTTAATTCTAAAAAAAAGGCTAGTAGGAGTTGGGCCGAATACCCGCGGCTTACTCGAGGTTAGAGAGGTACATTGTCGAAGGATAGGAAAAGGGGAGGAGCTGTGGGGTAGGGTTTCGTTGTCTCATCAGAGCTATGTCGCCAGTATGAACGGTAGTGTGGTTCTAGATTCGTCTGGAGTTCGACCGGCTATGGTGACCAGTGGACGTTGATGAAACTCATCTAGACGGGGGACAAGACAAACAAAAACTAATAAAGATATACAAAAGACAAACGAATTAAATTCTTATACTAGACATTTGCAGAAACACATAAATCGACTGCATATAGCAGAGATCGCGGGTACCCAACACGTCTCTGATAGGGATATAGGGTTTTCTTCCTTGGGCCTCGAGGGTATTCAAAAGTCGCTCTCTGGCGGCGTAACTATCCGTACATTGCCAAACTGCGTGATCGATGCCATCGTAACCGTTTCCACACCGACAGATGTTGCTGTCCACGAGGTTTATTCTATTGAGATGAGCGTCTAGCGAGTAGTGGTTGGACATAAGTCTACTCATCACGCGAATGAAGTCACGACTTAAGCCCAAGCCGTTAAACTCGAAGAAACATTAGGAATAATTGAATGTAACCACCGTCCAAGATTTCCAGTGTCCCAATCGGTTTGCCAACTCGAAAGGGTACTCTGACACACTAAATGGTAAAATTCATCGTGTGAAATTTGCCTGTCATAAAATTCACCTTCCTGCGCGCCCACCTTTGCGAGAGAGTCCGCCTTCTCATTGCCTGGGATTGAGCAATGTGAGGGGACCCATACAAAGGTAATCATATATGATTTTTCGACCAGTACACTCATCTGCTCCCTTACCTTTGAAAGGAAATAAGATGAGTGCCTACTTGGTTTCATCGACCGAATAGCCTCAATCGAACTGAGACTATCCGAGAAGATGAAGTAATGGTCTGTGGGCATGTTGGAAATCATCCCCAATGCGAAGTTGATTGCTGCCAGCTCAGCAACATGAATAGAACAAGGTTCCTGAAGTTTGCGAAAGGCGCTACAGTTTTCATTGAAGACACCGAAGCCAGTGGATCCATTGAGACGTGACCCGTCTGTAAATATCTTTTCACGCAATTGACGTGTTGGTACTTTTCATAATAATAATAGTTCGAAGTTGATCTGGAATCCCATGAATCACTTGTTTCATGTACAGATCATATTCAATTGAGGAACTGCGATTGGTGAAGTGAGCACGGTCTGGAGTATAACAAGGAAGACACATATCCGACGATATGTAGTGGTGGTAGATTCTCATAAATCGAGAATGATTCCCTTTTCCAAGGAACTCTTTACAAAAAGTTATGTTTAAAAAACGAATTTCTAAAACATATCAGAAAAAAAAACTTGTTTTGGCTTTATCTCCGCTCTATAGACCTACAAGGAACATTGGAGCAACTTTTTCTACCCTTAGGAATTTTTTGGAGGCAAATGCATCTTCGGCACTGGTGTTCGGTTCTGCATCGAGTTAGAGCAAATATCGAGTAAGGGAGAGTTGACTGTAATATTGTCATTTCAGTGATGCAAGTTTGGTGATGCAATGTTATTGCCTAAAATCGCATCAGTGCTTGAGATTAACTCCCTTGAAAACTTGAAGTGGCAGTGTAAGTGCCGATGATTTGTGGACGCTGGATTGTATCACCTTAAAACTTATGAGATTTGAATACTTCAAGTTTGTCTTTGAACACTTCTCTGGGAACACCTGGCACATTTCTGGATGTGGCAGCCCAGACTTAAATACATTTTGACGAGCTTCCTTACACAGTTATGTTTTTAAGATTCTTAACACTTAGATATTTGTTGAAACTACTCTGATTTGGAAAACTTTTTGAGAGATCTCTGCGAATTTTGTTTTTTTTTCCGGAACAGGAGATCTTTCATACAACCCCTGAAGCTTGAAAGATTCATGTTTGGCAAGCAATTACAATGCAGTGTTTTTTTTTTGTTTTTGTTTATCCATATGTTTGAAGAGCTGTTTTTTAGCGTTTTGGCACCACGAACAAACTATAAAAACACATTTGTTTTCTTCTTTTGAAAGTCGATTCTTTTGTCACTGACTAATTTACTTTTTCAAAGAATTTGAGTGTTATTCCAGAATATTTACAGAAAATTCTCAGGATTATAAGAAAGTTGTTTTTTTTTTTACTTCGTTCAACAAACGTTTTTAAAACATGACAATCAGTTTGTAGGGAATATAGTTGTTTTGCTATCAAACCCATTAAAAATGTATATTAAACATTTGTAACCGTCCATCGAATTCGCTTGAAGAGAAGTTTTCTAAAATGCAGTAGCTTATGAACCAATCTCGAGATCGAGAGACTATTGGTCGCGTTGAATTGCCCGACTACACAGCAAAAAAAAAAGTAATATCGATCAATGTAATTCAAGCTGATGTATGAAATAATGATGTAATAGCAAGAAGCAGATACAATATTACATCAATGGATGTAATTTTGTCCGCAAAATCGATGTTCATCGTACAACGTTATATTACACAATGGATTGACCTGGTTGCAGCAGTTTGGATGTAATATTCAACAACTTGTTTTTTTCTGTGTATGCTCTAAAGAGCAAATATTGAATCCTCAGGGGAGTCTTCGAACGGTTGATACTTACGCCGACAGAGCTTTCTTAAATTTTTACAAAAAATCACGTTTCCAGACGGTCATACCACCAACAAACCGACATGACACTTAATTCTGACTTATGCCCGAAAATCGTAAACGGCTGATTTAAATGTGCAGTGATCCGAACTGTCGAAACCATAGGATTTTTTTTTCTTGATAAAATAATTTATCCAGAATAGTTCAGACAGGAACCAATTCATAACTTTTGCATGCGGGTTCATGGCTTAGCTAAATATTTGTAATTTTTTTAGTGCAATGGCCATATTGATGACGTACCTGCACAGGGTTTATGCTGGCGTTCCAGACCATACAATAATCATAAAATAAAATACAATTACAAGCAAATCAAACTCTATTGTATGGTTACAATACATTTAATTGTACCTCTACGGTTCTTTTTTTTACGGGTTGACTTCTCGGCAGGTATGGCAACGGTCGAGGGGTCCATCGAACCGCGGCGATGTTTTGCTGACAATCCGGTGTAGGATGGGTATTCTCCAACCTCGGAGGGCTCGTATGCATCCAAGGAGGGCCGAACTAAAGGTGCGGAGGCTGAACGAAAGCTTTCGATTTCGAGGTTAGCAGGCCGTCCAGAGAAACCCAGAAAACCCGCAAGAAGGCCAACGTGCCCCGCCGAGTGACCCTCGTGAACTACCACAACTCGATCACTACGGCACGAAATGAAACCTTCCCACAAGACCCCTAAGCACTCGGACGTTACCTTTAGATGATGGGAAACCAGCACTCCGTTTAACTAACGATCACGGCGGGCCGAAACGAGCATACGAGCGATGGCGGTCAACACGTGAGTGTGTGGTGTCGTGACAGGGATCAAGCCTGTATATAAAGCACTCGTTGGACGAACGCTGCTTGTCCAATGCGAATCACTAATTTTAGTAACAATAGTTTAAAAGAATTCAATGTCTAAAATTACCTTTGTTTTTTTCAATAAACTGCCCAGAGCAGGAAAATTATGCCTTCTTGGCTTTGTTTCAACAAAAGAAACATAAAATATTAACCTTCACTTCACCACTTTACTAAATTATTAAGTTACACCTTAATTGATACTAAAACGGAGATCACTGATTGTAAGAAGAATTTTTCAATTAAACATCTGCTCACCAGCCGCTATGAACTTTAAGTGAACGAGAAGAATCCTAAATGCTACTAAAGACCTCGTTTTTTTAGAGGAAATGGTCAATGTCGACTGCTAATGACATTTGACATTTCGATCACATTCTAGAATGTTCGTTAGAAAGCCATCTTCCATTTAATTCGAAAAACAACATTACTCTATAAATTGGTAACCTAGTGTTGATATATATTTGAAGTTGTATAGGAAAAGAGGCATTGAAACTAAAATGTTATACCATTTTATAGCAATTTATTAAATAACCGAACCATGATATAAATTCCATATATTGCATTGGAGATGGTTCATATTTGGGTATACTTTTAATTGGAAACCTATCCTTAACAAATAAACCGCATCCATATGAAAAACTAATCGTATTTGGACAACGTTACGAATTTACTTAATTCTAGTAAGTCTAATCTAAAAATATACAGTGTCCTAAAATTTCCAAATGCTAGTTCAAATTAAAAACATACCGAAGTTCAGCATTACGAATACTTTTGTTAGTTTTCGAATTTGAAAACTTTTTTATGTTCCAGACAGGACGTCACAATATCAGCGACGAAGAAACCGCTGGCTTTCTTTTTCTGTAAAAGTCAAATAGCTTCGCAGCATTCTAGAACCTCAGTCGACGTCCACAAACAAATGTCGCTTGTCTTTCTTTCCCCCGTCACTCCATTGGTCTTTCTTTCAAGCTTCGGGGAAACGGACGAGCGAAAAAGCGCTAGACTTGGATATTTTCGGCTTTCATGAAACTCATCAACAGAGTTTTCACGACGTATATGACGGAATACGTTTAACTTGTCTTCCATCCACATATTCATCTAAAAAAAAAAATAACGAAAACGGGACATAACGCATAATAAACAATTTGAAAGAGCGGTGATAGAGTTTTCGTGAAAGGCATTGAAAGTCATAATGAGGTTTCGTTTAACTAGAAAATCAACGTTACATTTACTTTTGAAAGTTTTAAAACTCTTGAAAGTCATCTGCAGAACACTCTTTGATTGCACTCTGCAATGCTCTTCAAATTATCAATAATTCTTGTAATGTTGCTAGAAATTCCCCGGAGATTACTCCTGGAAATTCACGGTGAGCTCTCTGCAGAATTCACTTTGTATTCTATAGGAATTCCTATGGAATTTTTCTAGGAATTCCTTTTTAGTTCTCCTCAAGACTCCCATACATTCTTTGAAATGCTCCTAAGTATGAAATCCATTGGAATTATTCTCAGAATTTCCATTGAATTTATTTCCGAATTTCCATGGAATTCTACTGATAGTTTTCCTACGAATTAGCAAGCAGTGAATTAACAAACTTCTTATATTTCTCATTAATAATTATTTGACATTAAAGTCAGAACTCTCCTGGATTTTTTTCCGAGTTCCTTTGAAGTTCTCCTAAAATTATTCTCAGATTTGATTGTAGTCCTCCATTTTAGCATACTCCCGAAGTATTCTCCGATAATTTCCATGGAATTATGTTCCGGATTATTTTCTCTCAGAAAGTCCATGAAATTATTCTCAGAATTTCTTTGGAATTCTTTTTCGAATTTGCTTGGAGTCCTCTTTAGAGTTCCTATGCATTTTCATTCAAATTTCCTTCGAATCATATTCAAGGTTTACTTGGAATTCTCCTCAGGTTTCACATAGAATCTGGAGTTCATGAAAAACTATCTTGAAAGCAGATTGACCTTGAAATATTGATCCAGATTGATTTCGCATTAATTTCAATATTTTCCTTAATTTCCCCCTTCTGTTTGACTATAGCAGTACATGGGGCCAGATTCGGAGCAATTTTTGCCAGGAAAGTTATAATTTGTCTTGGAATAGTCGATCACAACATAACGTGTCCCAGCCCAAGAGACATTGCAAGTTTTATCGCAGTTTTAAAGCATGCTACAAGTCTAAATTGTGGTCTGCAGAACCCTCATAAAACCAAAATTGTTACTTTGAAAATCACCCAGCCTGGTGTAACAGACAAATGTCGTGAAGTCACCATATTTGAAGCGTTCAGTCAACCCATTAACTTCAAAAAAGAAGCATCTTACCATATAATGAATCATCACCTACATTCCAACCAAAGAAGATCCTTTGCTAGTTTATCCTACATACTTTTTTGGTATGTATTGATTTTGCAACACGTAGGAAGCATATCCTTAGTCAGAGGTCAAATTCTCGGAATCCTAGAATGATGCGAAAGTATCATAATGTTGTTGTTGGTAGGGGAAAATAGCCCAAAATGCACCCCGGGGCAAAACGCCCGATGCGATTTTCATAGCATTCCCGTTTTTAATTCATAAATGTGACAAGTCAAAGTGCTAGTTTAGTACTGAAACTAGCTTTTCTGCACAAAAATTTCCAGGATTAAGAGTGGAATACCTATGAAAAACCAAATCGGGCGTTTTGCGCGAGGTGCATTTATTCCCTGTTCTACCCTTCAATGTCCTGTTATATTATACTTAGCTATATAGATAATCAAACAAGGCGCACTAACACAATCTCATTCCCTCGCGGCGAAGCATGAAGCATGAATGAAACGGTTGTGTTGGTTTTCACCCCATCAGCAAAGCATGCGTTTGCGATGTTTTCGACGCGCCATAGTGTGGAACAGCCAATCAGCGGCGAGTATGATGTCAACGCTGGCTGCGATGATGTCTCGTGTTGAGGGCCACAACAAAACGAAAGTTTGTTTTTCTTCCTGCATGCATGATGGTGCGATGTGAGAGACGCAAGGATCCAACTCACAGGGCGCGAAAATTATGTACTACTCGGTGGAATGCCTTGACGATGAGTCATTCTTATGATATAACTTGGGTGGTTCCTGTCGGATGCTGTTTTAAAGAGAAAATTGAGCACAATTTGCAGTGGAGCCGCGTGGTTGCTGCTTATAAACTATTAATCACCTTGTCGATCAGTGTTGGGACGACTTTCTACCAGAGATTTTCGGAAAATGAATAAAACTAAACCTTCATTTCCTCGAGGTTCTAGAAGAAACATTTTATAATATTGTTTCACGGCTAAGTTCGAGTGGCAGGAAACGTAGTTTTAAACTACTAGAATGACATGATTCATTAACCGCAATTTTGATACGCCATTCTACCAGATTCATTATGAAAATGAGCCAATAAATTTGAAATTTTATAGTAACCCTCTTTTCCTTTATCTGAAAAAAAAAATATAATATTGATTAATAGATTTTTTTTTCTTCTAACTTAAGCTTTCTGCTATTCAATTATAAGAAAGAGTTTCATACAGAAGTTACATGTAATATTTATGGTACAATATATATATATATGTAAATATGCCTTTTTTGATTGATGGCTTTCGCGTATTTATGTTAGCAAATCTAGGACTGGCAGGTAACATAGCAACTGTTTTTGATAGACTGTAGATAGGCAGGTACCTCGGATAGACGAGTAAATAGTGGTTTTCCCACACGTTAATATCTACCTCTTGTGTTCAGGCCTCCTAAGGCCTGATATGGATTGTATGCTTATGATTTCGAAGAAGCGTTCGTTTTGGATTGGGAACTAAAACAACGAGCTACCTTCCGAGAAGTGATTTCGAGCTTTGCGCCGAACGTTGATTCTTGGAATGCAAAATTCTGAAAAGCACTTCCATTGTGAAATGCATTCATCCTAGTGCGCCTTGTGTGCAATGTAAAAGGCGAAGTGAGCGGGGAAGGAGATGGTATCGATTTTTTCCGCCACTGACTGGTTCGGCATTGAACTTGACCGCTTGATGGGAAAAGTTTTGCGCGCTTTCCCTTCTGTCCTGTTTTACATGATACCTATGTAGCTGGCGATGGCGTGATATGATTCTAGCTTCCGGTATTTGCTACGGCCGGATGTGTTTGTCTGTATTGGTACATGGATAATTTATGCATGCCAGTCAGTTGTGAAGATAATTGAAGCTGTCTGGAGGCTCTGATGGGAAAACACCTACATACACACCTCCTTACAGCCGAATGCAATGAATGGAGCTTGTCAATCAATGATTCATGAAAGAAAATCCAGATTTTGTTCTCTCGCAAACTTGAATTGAATCTAGCGATAACTGCAGGAGGTGAATGGAATTGTGATAACGAGAATTCCGTTGAATATTTACTATAGCTACTGACATCAATCGATAAATACCAACTCATTCAGATACTAACGAATTATTGGGCTTTTGCTCACTAGATTGACAACCTGGAAGATAATTTCAAGAACTTTGAGTGTGATTACGAAAAATCGTTATCCGAACATACCAAAAGCAATGAGGTATATGAAGCCCGTTTGAAACACTACCGAACAAAGCTGGACGAAACTGAAAGGTTTGTTTTACAGTATTTTTTTTTATACTAGCGCGATCGATGAATGAAAAGTGGGTTGATATTATCAGAGCGAGATTGTTTTAATATGTTTGAATTAATTACATTATCCTTATTTTGCCCCTTCCCATAGTCAAATCGAAGCGTGCGAAACAGACTGCCAACTGCTAAAGGAGTGGAACGTCCGATTAGCCAGTGAGTTAGCTCAAGTAAAGGAAGCCTACCAGGAAACGTACACATTCCGAGTTCGACAGTTTTTCACCAATCTACCCAGGAGGCCTGGATTCTACGTGCAATATTTACTGTATCTGCTCGTACGAGGTACTCCTCTGCCCAAGGCTCCCATTGGAAAGGGAGATTTTCGTGGAATGATAACTGCCTATCCAAATGCTAGTTGTTTGTAGAAATGATATTTTGTTTATTTTTCTTTTATATTATGTGATTTTGATGTGTATTTTATTATTAATCATTTTCAAAGAATAGATCATGTTATTTCAAACGCTTGCCCTTAACTTAGTGTTTTCAAACTCGTTAAATCGCACGTGTATATCAAGTCAGTAAATAAGGTACCAGATAAGCACATGTCTGACACCAGTTAAAACCCACTAATTCGAAAATTTGCTAGGGATGTCACGATTCTGGATTCGGAAAATTAATCTTTCGAAAGTCTTATATCTGAATGTCAAATGCCATTAGCTCGAATGGTTCAGTACGCTGACATTTTTATAGTTAATCACTTTTCGTCATACGACATCTGCGTTGTTCCAATTTAAGGACATACTTGATGGAGTCCAAATATGGCCGACATGATTACGGACTTATACTATCACTTCAAACTTTGCAAAGTGAAGAAGGAATGTATCAGGAATGACTCAACAAACAATTTGAGCTGATTAAATACTGAATAAGCTTAGTTGAAGATGCTAATTTCAAATAGCAGACTAAAGTGGTAATTTTTATACGATAGATGAAGAGATGAAAGTATCCAGCTTTCCATGCTCGGTTATGGCGGCCTGTTTGTATGAATAAATGTATATTTCACTGTGCTTTTTGACACTAACTTGGGGGGCGTACGTTGTTCCATTTTCTTCTGTTCCTGGGAGTGGGAAAGGGAGGTGGCGAACCTCCATATAGTGTCGAAAAGCACAGTGAAGGATAAATGATACAAACAGGCCGCCATTACCGAGCATGGAAAGCTGGATAGAGTTGATAGCAGAGTACGGCAGTTGTGAAAATTGTATATAGAGATTAGAAAGCGAGCAAGGACAACTTTGAGGAAGGTACGAATCGGTTTTATCATCTCTCTTTACCAAACTCACCAGTTGGAAAGGGATGGTGTGGGGTATCCGACCTCCGCTACCACTAGCAAAAAGAGATGATCAACGATTTGATCATGTACCGACGACATTTTTGTCGAGTTTTGTTTGAATTGAAAAAGTGATAACTAGTGCTAGATCACGTATGATCTGATGATTTGATCTCAGACAGGTGTCTCTGAACCTTTCCAGGATGAATACTCTCCGTTCTTCTAATGTCTGAATTCCAGCCAGTAGGTGGATCTCAGAATTTCTAGTCCGCGGGGAACTGTTTAGGACCATCCTAAGGATCTTGTTCTGGATCCTTTGGACTTTAAAGTGATGGCATTTGGCGCAACTCTCCCAGATTGGCATCGCGTATTCTATTACGGGAAGGATGATTTGTTTGTAGACAGCAAGCTTATTTTTCAGGGATAGAGTAGACCTCCTGTTGATGAGTGGATACAGTGATCTTATCAAGATGTTACACTTGGTTTTGGTTTTGTCAACGTGCTCGCTGAAAATCAGCTTGCTGTCTAGTGTTAAGCCGAGGTAGATTTGTTATATTCATAGTTCATTTGGTAATTTCTTCAGATTTACCTATAAGCATTTTTCAGAAACCTTTTGAAATTTACCTCAGACCTGCTATTGAAGTTTGCTAATAATTTTCTTGAAAACTTCCTCAGAACACTCCTGAAAATTTCAGCAGAAATTTGTTAAAATTCTTCTTAGAATGTTGCAAGGTTTCTCATTAAAATTCCCTATGGTTTATTAAGAACCCATTGAAATTATCTCTCGAGCTAAAAATGTCTTTAGAATTCTAGCCAAAATTGTCATTCTTTGAAGTGACAGACTGTTGGAAAACATACTAATTATAAGAACTTTTAAAAAATTTCAATATGTCATATTCTTACACCCAACCGGGGGATGTAAGATTCTCTTACAATTATGTGGGATTCATCATCAGAGGATGTTAGTGGAGACCGCATGAACCGAGGATGCGATATACCTAGCTGCGGTCCAATGCAAGAAAATTGGAGACCGAAAAATGTAGAGTGTATTAGTGAGGTAAATTAGTTATGTCGAAAAAAATAGGAAACAGACTGCCGGACTGGACTCGAACCACGAACGTTTCGATTATCAGACTTGTGCTTTCTCCACTGCCCTCTCCATGCTTCTGAATAAGGATATCCTAAAAGCAAACATGAAGCGCTCATTGTCTCGCATACTCGACTTCTTATGCTTTTTCTGCTGGAGAGATTCGAGGCAAGTGTGTGCGTGGTTCTACAATGTTCTACAATGTGCGTCGTTCTACAAGCTTACTGGTATAGTCGAAAGCGTAGATAGAACACAAAATAAAAAAGACAAAAAACCATTACATCGCCTGCATGGTCAATTTCTAACATTCGTTGCGATGTTCATGAACAGAGGATGATATGAAACGGAACTAACATTCATTGTAATAGATTTTTGGTTTGCGTGTAGGAAAGTTTTAGATCTATTGGTGTATCATGGAAGAGAAAAATAAAAAAATTAAAAATAATTCTCAGTCCTTCAACAAAACCTAGAATCATGAAGATTTTCGTAGTCTGTAATTATCAAGAAAAAACATATTGTTGTATTTTATTCGAGTTTTCTGAACTAATTAATCTAACGTCAATTTGATTCGGAAATTCAAACAAATGTGGAAGTAATACATAAAAAAAAATGACAAAGGCTAGTTGAACTTAAAATTTAAACCTTTTTTTTTTTTAGATAATTGAACTCTAAAAAATATATTGAACTGTGTGCAGGTATGTTTTGAAAATTTGCATGTACCTTTTATTTGGCAAGTTATATATTGATACATTCAAACCATTGGCATTTGGTATTTGAGATAAGACAGATATAGGATGCGGAGGGCCCGCTTAGGGGGAGCGTAACCCATTTTATGGTTTCCATTTATAAAATAGTTCAGATAGGCTAGAAATGACAGCTTCATAGTAAGAGAATGTACCCATATGGTGCCCGTTCACTGATCACTTATTAGATCACTCTTCTTTTTCTTTTTTAAGTTTTCTAAATGCACACAGTTATTAATTGAGAGCTTTCGATGCCAATACCAACGCATGAATTTGTATATTGTATGATCGGGATGAACCAGCGTCTGGCTGAAAATCTCCTTAATAAAGACAACCAACCAACAAACCAACCTATTTTGTATGGCAGGGACAGGGAAGTCGAGAAAATTTCCAATCCGAAAGATTCCCTCGACCGACGCAATTTTTGCAATGTGGACGATGGATAGTTCTCTGCTGGTATCATTTTCGGCGGTCACCAGTGAGCCCAAATACACGAACTCATCGACCACCTCGATTTCGTCACCGTCAATCTGAACTCGGGGTGAGAGGCTAACATTGTCTTCCCTAAAACCTCTTCCTTTCATGTATTTTGTCTTTGATGCGTTGACGGCAAGTCCAATCCGCCTAGCTTCAGCCTTCATTTTGATGTACGTTTCCGCCATCATCTCAAAGTTCCGTGCCATAATGTCAATGTAACGGCGCCGGTGGTGTAGTGGTAAGCGTGATTACCTCTCACCCCAGCAGGCCTGGGTTCAATACCAGTCGGCGCCGCCGGGATGTTCTGAGGCATAACATCTCTGATCACGCCTTCCTTCTGATGGGAAGTAAAGCCGTTGGTCCCCGGTTCATGAGTTGATGGGTCGATAGATATGGTCCAGGTGTGGGAGCTGCCTTCCTGGCACGTCGGTAGCATTGGTGCTCAGCACGGAAAACAAGATCGACGGAAAAAACAAACAAAGGAAAAAAAAAAAATAATAATGTCAATGTCATCGGCAAAGCGGATGGACTTCTAGAATATCGTGCCACTCGAGTCTATCCCAGCTCTTCTGATCACACCTTCTAACGCGATGTTGAACAGCAGACACGAAAGTCCATCACCTTGCCGTAACCCCTTTCGAGATTCAAAGGGACTCGAGAGTGTCCCCGATACTCGAACAACGCACATCACTCGATCCATCGTCGCCTTGACCAATCGCGTCAGTTTGTCCGGAAATCCGTACTCGTGCATAATCTGCCATAGCTGATCTCGATCGATTGTTTCGTATGCGGATTTGAAATCGATGAACAAATGATGTGTGGGCACGTTGTATTCGCGGCATTTCTGCAGAACCTGCCGAATCGCGAAAATTCGTGGTCCGTGGTAGCGCGTGAATCCCGCCTGGTATTGCCCCACGAACTCTCTTGCAAATGGTGACAGGCGGCGGCATAGAATTTGGGAGAGTACCTTGTAGGCGGCGCTCAGCAGTGTGATCGCGCGGTAGTTGCAGCAATCCAACTTGTCGCCCTTTTTGTAGATTGGGCATACGACACCTTTCATCCATTCCTCCGGTAATACCGTTCCGATTCAAATTTCGGACGATTCAAATTTCGGACACTTTCATTTTTAATTAAATATTACATCCAGTTAGAAACAAAGTAATAATGTTAGATGATCGTGGAGGGCACTAGTCAAAAAAATTTAAAATTTACAAGACATGTGGATCATATTCGACCGAGATAATCAACTTTTAAAAGTGTCCGAAATTCGAGTTTAAGTGTCCGAAATTTGAATCGGCACGGTATATCCTCCTCCCAAATCTTGGCAATTACCCAGTGCAGCGCTCTAGCCTGTACTTCACCACCGTATTTAAATAGCTCACTTGGTAGTTGATCTACACCAGTTGCTTTGTTGTTCTTCAGCCGACCGATCTCCTCCTCAACTTCTTGAAGATCAGGGGCCGGTCGTCTTCTGCGCGTGCTCGTCTTAGTACTGCTTCCACCTCTCATTCACCTCACACTTGTTCGTGAGAAGGTTACCGTCCAAGTCCTTGCACATATCGGCTTGCGGCATGTAGCCGTTGCGCGAAAAATTTAGCTTCTCATAGAACTTCCGTGTAATAAATATATATTATTCATAATTATTAATTGGTTTAAGGTGATTTCCTGTAGAGTCCACAAATGGCCGCCACGTAGGCTGTACAAGCCAGCCATGGTAAAAACACTGAACCCTTTTGCACGGGTGGTAGTTTTGCCTACAAACACAGCACCAAGAGCATTGAGTTTCACGCT